AGCGCTCCTCTCACCCCATCCTCCCGTAGGCTTTGCTGTAGTTGGGGTCGATGCTGATGGCCTGTTCACAGTCCTGTACGGCTCCGGCATAGTTCCCCAGTTTACTGTACGCTGCAGCTCTGCACAGGAAGATTGAAATGATCACATCAAGATCGGATTTTTTTAATCCAGCAGCATCATATGTTCAGTTTTCATACTGTTGTTAAAGTTGAAAACATGAACTTTGTTTGTCTCTGTGAAGCTTCGCAGACTGACACAGAACTGTCACCACGCCGACCTGTTGCAGTAGTAGACGGCGTTCTGAGGGTTCATGGCGATGGCTTTCGAGTAAAACTCAACAGCAGCTGCAAAGTTGTCCACCTTCATTTGGTCGTTACCTGAATCCAGAGACAAAAAGCGTTGACTTGTCAGTGGAAAACAAAATAAAAGCGGGAGAAGAAACTGCAGCTGTTTTAAAAACAACGCGTCTGTGATCCGCTGTGTGCTCACGGTGACCTCGTCTTACCGTCGGTTTTCAGTCTCTCAGCCTCAGCTCTCTGTTCCTCACTAATGGAGTTTGGGGTGGAGTTGTTGTTGACCTGCGACTGAGCTGGAAACTGACACACACACAAGCACTCAGAACCTGAATCTTCATCTCACTTCACCCTGATGAGAGGCTGTTTCTCTGAGTCTACCTTTGCGGTGGCGGAGGCGAAGATCTCCGGTAGCGTCATGGGGACGGCGAGGCTCTGATCATCGGTCGAGACATCAAACGCTGTCTCCAAACACTGAACAGCAACTGTAAAAAGACAAAGACGGTTTTAACAGGAAGAAACCGCCAAGCTGAGGAGACGGGATCATGCAGTAACAATAACTCATTCATCTGAGTCATGTAAGAATGTAACAATTACTGTCGCTGTTTTTGTCACAGTCTTTGTTCACAGTCGACCGCGCTGCTGACAAACTCCTGAAACTACCCCCCCCCCCCCCCCCCCCCCCCCCAACTGAGCGCCAGCAGCTCGTCTCTGAAGCAGGCGGAGAGCAGCATGGACAGAAGCAGAGCCCACAACAACAAACACACTTAGTTTTGTTCAGTCGCCGCCATGAACAGACAAAGTCTGTGTCACACGACTGATTAGTTTAGAACCTGCGTCTGAAGGATGACTCACCCTCCAGACTCTCCTGGGCGCTTGACGTTAGATCCCCTGACTGGAGCTGATCGTGGAGGAACTGGATGATGGAGAAGGCGAGGCGCTTGTTGTCTGTCATGGTGACGGAGGCTCAGACCTCTCTGTGTTCACTGAGGGAGAGAGACCCTGCAAATAACAAGAAGTGGCTGTGACTGAGCACGGTGACGTCATGACACATGTCAGCTTCCAGAAACATTATTACTCATGTCCGATCCGAGTGGTATTACTCACAGTTGAGCTCATACATCCACCAACAGTCGTTAAATTCAGTCAAGCTGCACCAAATTACAGACACAAATATCTGGTCCCTAAATATGTTTGGATTTTATCCTCAGGATCAAGTGGAAATGTCAAAATCACACAATGTTAAAGAAAGAGAGAAAAACTATTCTTGTCCTGAAACTTAATTCGATGCGTTCTTCCCTGACCGGCACCAGATCACACCGAGCAACACACAAATGGACTGGGGTGGAAACATAACCTCCTACGTATGATAATCATGTAGGAGCCAGTGGGCGGAGATGTGTTTGTTATATATAGAGGTTGTGTACAGTGTGTACATGTACACACATCTACAACCTGATCTGTGTTTGAGCAGTGATGAGAGCATGTTCCTCAAAGTGTGTGAACCACAGAACGATGAGTCAGGTTTGTGTGTTTCAGTGCCACAGGTTTGTTGTTAGTTCTGTTTCCTGTTGGTTTGTGTTTATGATTTGGTCAAATCGACTGAAGTGACCAGTAAACGTCAGGAGAGGAAAGGATCTGATCCAGGACGGTTCTCCATCTCTTTCTTTAACCTTGGAGGAAAGGATGGCTTTGGGTCATCAGTGGTTTCTCAGAGAAGAATCCTCAGATCCTGAAGAGAACAATCTAAGATATTTAAAACAGAGATGTGTTAGATTGTGGTTTGGTGAAGCTGGACTGTTGTTCACTGACGTTTCCCTCAGTCTGTGCAGCTACATGTAGCATTAGCCTGGAGAACATTCTGCAGGGATGCTAACAGCGATCAGCTAACACTCGCTATCTGAATCCACGAATCACAATGAAGCGACCTGCAGGTGAGAAGCTGTTACATGAAGTGGTGAGACTGAAACCACAGTTCACTGTGAAGACGTGATTTTATATTGGGTTTGTTTTAGCTTAGCATGTTAGCATGTCAACATCTCTTCATGCGTTTATTGTAAAAAGTTTAAAAGGCTCAAATCTTTGTCTCTGACTCAGATCCCCAGCAGGAAGTGACAGTAACACTGGTGACAGGTGAGATCCTGCACCAGGTTCAGATCCTGCACCAGGTTCATGTGTGTGAACTCATCTGAACACAACGAGCCTCAAACTGCTGCTCTCTTGTGTTCGTCAGTCACTAATGTCAGAACAGCTGTAACTACATGAATGTTCATGTTAACGGTGTATAACCTGAGCCGAATCACTGGGCGGCTCCTGGACGGTTATTACAGACACGAACTTTAGTTCTGACGGACGCAGGATTCTCCTCTGAGTCAAATCTCTGTTGTATGTTCAAGTTTTGAAAGGACGTTGGCGTGACGTGCTCTCCAAGCACCAGCGGCACGATGCTACAGCTAGCTAGCTAGCCGATCACTGCACCGGTAAGTGTGAAGGTGGAGCCGTGAACTCGAACCGGTGACGCTCCCGGTCCGTTGCGGCGACACGGTTCTCTTACCAACTGTCTTCCCCGTGAAGATGATCCCGGTGACGGACAGTTGACGGTAGCTCCGCTGCTCCGGGGTTTTTAACAGTCAGCGAGCTAATTAGCCTGTCGAGGAGTTATGTCGTCATCGGTAGGCGCCGGTGCAGACGTCATCCTGATGGGGCGCTCTAGCCAATCAGAGGCCAGGGCAGGACTGGACAGGAGAGACAAGAGACAGCGAGAGACAAGAGACACGGAGGGACAAGAGACACCCACTGAGAGACAAGAGACACCGAGAGACAAGAGACACCGAGGGACAAGAGACAGCCACTGAGAGACACCGAGAGACAAGAGA